TAGTGCCCAGAGTTACATATAATATTCATAGATACACAAGTTTGTTACTAATCCCAGTGCCTATGGCATCTGGCACATCCCTTTTGTATAACAGCCTACAGTTATAACAGTATAACAGCCTTTTGAAAATTCTCTGCTCCCAAGGTGTCACAAGTATGTGCTGTATTTTAAGGCTATGAAAATGTTAACTAATTAAATTCACATCACCTTTTTGAGGTAGCTAAGTAGCATTATCTCCAATTTACAGATTCATTCATAGATTCATAGATTCTAGGACTGGAAGGGACCTCGAGAGGTCATCGAGTCCAGTCCCCTGCCCGCATGGCAGGACCAAATACTGTCTAGACCATCCCTGATAGACATTTATCTAACCTACTCTTAAATATCTCCAGAGATGGAGATTCCACAACCTCCCTAGGCAATTTATTCCAGTGTTTAACCACCCTGACAGTTAGGAACTTTTTCCTAATGTCCAACCTAGACCTCCCTTGCTGCAGTTTAAGCCCATTGCTTCTTGTTCTATCCTCAGAGGCTAAGGTGAACAAGTTTTCTCCCTCCTCCTTATGACACCCTTTTAGATACCTGAAAACTGCTAGCATGTCCCCTCTCAGTCTTCTCTTTTCCAAACTAAACAAACCCAATTCTTTCAGCCTTCCTTCATAGGTCATATTCTCAAGACCTTTAATCATTCTTGTTGCTCTTCTCTGGACCCTTTCCAATTTCTCCACATCTTTCTTCAAATGCGGTGCCCAGAACTGGACACAATACTCCAGCTGAGGCCTAACCAGAGCAGAGTAGAGCGGAAGAATGACTTCTCGTGTCTTGCTCACAACACACCTGTTAATACATCCCAGAATCATGTTTGCTTTTTTTGCAACAGCATCACACTGTTGACTTATATTTAGCTTGTGGTCCACTATAACCCCTAGATCCCTTTCTGCCGTACTCCTTCCTAGACAGTCTCTTCCCATTCTGTATGTGTGAAACTGATTTTTTCTTCCTAAGTGGAGCACTTTGCATTTGTCTTTGTTAAACTTCATCCTGTTTAACTCAGACCATTTCTCCAATTTGTCCAGATCATCTTGAATTATGACCCTGTCCTCCAAAGCAGTTGCAATCCCTCCCAGTTTGGTATCATCCGCAAACTTAATAAGCATACTTTCTATGCCAATATCTAAGTTGTTAATGAAGATATTGAACAGAGCCGGTCCCAAAACAGACCCCTGCGGAACCCCACTCGTTATGCCTTTCCAGCAGGATTGGGAACCATTAATAACAACTCTCTGAGTACGGTTATCCAGCCAGTTATGCACCCACCTTATAGTAGCCCCATCTAAATTGTATTTGCCTAGTTTATCGATAAGAATATCATGCGAGACCGTATCAAATGCCTTACTAAAGTCTAGGTATACCACATCCACAGCTTCTCCCTTATCCACAAGACTCGTTATCCTATCAAAGAAAGCTATCAGATTGGTTTGACACGATTTGTTCTTTACAAATCCATGCTGGCTGTTCCCTATCACCTTACCACCTTCCAAGTGTTTGCAGATGATTTCCTTAATTACTTGCTCCATTATCTTCCCTGGCACAGAAGTTAAACTAACTGGTCTGTAGTTTCCTGGGTTGTTTTTTTTAAATTCCCCTTTTTATAGATGGGCAGTATATTTGCCCTTTTCCAGTCTTCTGGAATCTCTCCCATCTCCCATGATTTTCCAAAGATAATAGCTAGAGGCTCAGATACCTCCTCTATTAGCTCCTTGAGTATTCTAGGATGCATTTCATCAGGCCCTGGTGACTTGCAGGCATCTAACTTTTCTAAGTGATTTTTAACTTGTTCTTTTTTTATTTTATCTTCTAAACCTACCCCCTTCCCATTAGCATTCACTATGTTAGGCATTCCTTCAGACTTCTCGGTGAAGAACGAAACAAAGAAGTCATTAAGCATCTCTGCCATTTCCAAGTTTCCTGTTACTGTTTCTCCCTCTTCACTGAGCAGTGGGCCTACTAGATGAGGAAACTGAAGAAGAGATGTGAGGTTGCCCTTTCCCATACCCACAGAGATGTGATTAATAGGTGTTCCTTGCTCCCAAGGTTTAAGTCATTCCTTTAGATACTGCTGCTTCTCTCAACAACCATGTCTACATGTATCCATCAGGTTGATACACCCAGGAAAGGAGAAAATATTAGATTGCTCTTTTACACTTTTCTGTGTTCATCATTCATTGAGTTTAATCAAACATTGATATACTATAAGTGGCAAAACCCTGTAATATTATTCTTTACTATAACATAGTATTTATTCAGCTCTGACATTGTGACCTGTACTCAGGAGAAAATGATGGCCCCCATGGTCTATAGTGCTTCTATTAGTATTTATATATATACAATAGTGTATAGTGCCTTGACAGTACTGAGTAGGGAGAATATAATTTAAAGGCAGATTTCCATTTGTGGACACAGTGGATCCAACCCACATTAGCAAAAAGAACAGCTGACTGCATATGTAAATGTCCAGTTATTGTCTCAATGAATTCTTTTTGCACGCTCAAATTTGAAAATTTTGAATCACAGTCATAGGCGGCGAGTTATATGGACCCGTGGTACCCATGCTCCACCAATATTCAGGAACATAGGCCTGGCTCCATCAATGTTTGGGTTTATATTTTCACAGCTGTCCCATCCATAGGACGGACCAGGGCAACCGCCCTGGGCCCCGTGCTTCAGGGGGACACGGGGTCCAGGGCAGCCTGGGGGGTTAGGAAAGATGGACCATGGTCTGACCCAGTATGGTAGCGCTTATGTTCATATGTTCTTACCTGGTGAGAGAAGATTTCCTTAGAAATAAAGAGAGAGTAAAAGGTATCACATGTATGGTTGATAGCATATTTTCTACCTAAGATTCTGGACAGTCTTAAACTATTTATTCTGGTGCAATAGCACTATTATAATGCCATTAATGGGGTTTTGGGTTAGTTTATTTTTGCCTTGTATATTTTGGCTAAGTTAAATTTGTTATGGAGAGGAGCACTTAGAGGCCCATAACTTCATATTTTTGGTTGTGAGCTAGCATTAAGTACTTTTCTGGTTTACACTGTATTTACCTCTTTAACTCAGGCGTCACACGTTCAGCCTGTGTGTTCTCCCTAATTACGTTTCTGATAAGTATCCTAAATTGCCTGAAAACTACAGTGAAGTATTACTGTTAACATGAAGGAACACTATACTTGTTGCATATTGACCCTGATCCATATACAGAGGGGAGACCATTTGCATGTCTTTTATCTCTCCCTGCAAAAGGGTTTGACATTTCCGCAGCACTATTTCCCCCCTATTATGGACTCTTCCAAAAGCCCCTCTATAATCCTGTGCTCCTCCATGCAAGCATATGCTTTGTGGACAGGGCAGATCAGGGCACAAAATTTGCTCTATTGCCCCACACCCACATGTACCTCAAGCCCTTCAGAAATTCTTGGAAAAGACAATACATAGTATTACTGTGTGATATTGTCCACTGAGCTCCTCCATGTCCTTGGGGATAAAGCTGAGAGAGTCCCTGGTAGCCAATGCTTTGTGTGTTATCATCACAGGCCTTAAGAACCAGAGACCTAAGCTGGTACAGAGGAACTACTGTTTTTCCAATCAAACAAAAAGTGACTCTATTCTGCAGCTTTGAAAAACAAAATTAGCATTTTTGCCTCTCTTGAAGGGAAAATAAACAATTTTGTCAAACTTCCTAGAAAATGGAAGTTTAGGGGTCACAAAATTGACCTAAATAAAATGGTTAAAATGTGTGTGAGATTTAGCAGAATCCTTTTGCCTTTTGATACCATAGAGTACCATTCTATCAGTTTTTAAAATTCTGTTTTTTATTTGTATTATCTGTATTCTCCCTCCATATGTACATATATATTTTACATGTTACATATTTTGTTTTTATGTTATGTAGCATTGGTTGTTATTTCAAAATGTAATAACAGTCTGCTTTAAATAAGTAGCAACTTGAGGATTTTCTCTTAATACAGTTTCTCAAATTATCTCCAGAATTTGAACAGTGGGCATTGGTTGTAATAATCTTAAATTTTGGTTGATGTTTCCCCAACCTCAAATACCAACACTTATCTGTGTGAAATCCTGATGTGGTTTAGTTAGTTGATTTTGCTGTAGTGGAAGCATTGATGCTAAATTCATCTTTGGGGTAACTCCATTGAACTCAGTGAGGTTCCATCAGGGATGAATCTGGCTTAATATGTTTGCCATGCCCTGCTTCATGTAAAAGCATATGTATATTGCTCAAAAGTAGTAAATTTCTGCAATGTAACTGCAAGCTGCTCTTTTCCCTGCTGCGTCTTCTCCACATTAACAAGCTAGAAACAACTTTTGAATAACTTAATATAGCACGTAGCATAATATCAGTGCATGTATACATTTGTGGTGCCCTGTGAGTACCGCTATTATATTATCGAGAGTATGAACAGTTCTGCTTCAGCCTGAATTGTAGATGAGACATTCTCTAGCACAATAAAGGTGACCTGCAGGCATTGTGTAAAATATTACAGATTACTGAATTATGGAATGGCAGTAACTAATGAAATAACTCTCTGCTCTGTTATATCACACCCTCACTGTGTCCTAAAAATATGGAACTATCACTAGCATGCTCTGTGTGCAAAACTACGTATTACTGAGTTTGTGCAGCAATCTGATAGAGTGAACCTTTCTACTAAAGACCTGAACTTGAGAGGTGCTGAGCACCTGTAACTCCCTGTGACTTCAGTAGGAGTTAGGGTTCTCAACAACTCCCAGAATCGGCTGGAAAATACTTAACATGGGAATTCTGCAAAGAATGTTTTTCATTATAGTGTGCCAGGGAATTTATATACAATCACATTACAGCTAACTGGAGAGAAAAATTAAGTTCAGCAACAACAAAGCAGTTGAACCATGCTAGAAGTTTTCGAACTAAAAAAAAGTTAATCTATATTTTCTTTTACCTACAGGCCTACCCACGGATAGCGCCGGCATTTTGGCACTACCTGCGGGTAGAAGTGAGTAGCGGGTATTTGAATACTCCCACATCTTTACACTTTACTAGTACTTACTGAACTTCTAATTTGTCCATTGTGCAAAATATGTAGCTGCCATTTCAGCTGCCATTTTCTGTGAATGTAGTCATGTATTAATACTATATTATTTTGACTACAGTATAATTACTAACCCAAATCACAAAGGTACAATATGCATTGTATGAAAGAATAAGCAAAATTTCTTAAAATATTTCTGATCCAACATCATGTCATACATTGTGATGATAGCACAATATCAGAGTACCAGAATTCATACCTGCATCTCCTTTTATGAACAAATTTTACATTCATAAGAAAAAAGCAGAGCTTTCTATTTGGACTATTGTTATTACAAAGTTTGCACAACTCAACTTGATATCATTTCTCCCCTCTTTTGTCCATCAGGAGCATGAGCAGCTCAGCTATTCCTCCACAAGGTCCAAGGCTCCAAGTGTTATCATCACAGGTCTCAAGCCAGCCACCAAGTATATATTTCATATCAGAGTCAGGACTGCAGCAGGATACAGCGGCTATAGCCAGAAGTTTGAATTTGAAACTGGAGATGAAAGTAAGTCTTAAGGAAGGGACAAATGTGACTACCATAGAAGTAGTGTCTAATTCTAAGTCAGTCAGACATTGGGAGTATGAATGAGCTGAGTATTCACCACACACGCAACACAGAATGCCCACTGGGTTAATGTAAAAAAACAAAAAACTTTTTCACACATCCCCTTAGAGGGGTTCCCTTTATATTGAACTTAGGAACAACAAAAATAAAAATCAGCCCGAGATGAACATTGAAGGATTCTTTTTTCTTTGCAAGATTTCCTCACCCCAACCCCTTTCTTTCCCTAGAGACTTTGCACCTTTTATCCTCCTGAAATGGAGCTTATAAGACCCACAAGGTATGGATACCAGCAGAGTAATCCTGTGCGTTCATGCAAGACCCTAGAACCTCACAGCCTCTCACAGAGAGCCTTTCATCTGTTGGCTTTCAGTACTCCCATTATCTAAGAATAATGGAATGGAAACAATTATGTGTATTTCCAATCAAACAGTAAGTCCGCTAAATACCCAAGTAAGAAGCAAGCATATAAAAAGCCTCAAAAAGATCTGTGAACAACTTCTGAAATGAAACCCAAGCCCTCATTAAAATCCCAGTTAGGATGTTTGTAAATATTTGATAGAAAATTAGTATACATACCACATTAAAAACGTTCATTAGTGAAATTACATTAATTAACCACTTACCCATACCATGTCTCATTAATGTGTTGAACTTCATGCTGCTTAAGCTGAAGTACAGACTGAAGTCTTCTTATAAATGTATATGTTTTCAAAATAGACTTCATAGATAAATAAGAAATTACCAAACTCTCATGAAGAGGGTCATATAATATTGCTGACAAAATGTAAATGAATGTATTTAACATAGAGGTTTAAAATTTATCCAGGAATGATCAGCTAGATCACAAGTTGAAATCCTATGACAAAGTGGAAAATGTATACTAATTCTGTAGTATTCTGGGAAAGTGACTTTTGTACCAATATGGAACTATGGATCCTTAATATGGCATCCAGACAAACTGTTTACCAGTCAAAGGTTATGGGACTGTCAGTGACCATTCAACCAAAAGCAATTCAGAAGCTAAGAATGTAGAAAATTAGTTACTAAAATGTCAATTCAATTTAAATGTGCTTCTCCAGACAATAGTTCATAGCTAATCCCTTTCATACATAATATCTCAGATAAACATTGAGACTGCTCCTGACTGTACACTAATGGACTTGGGGTAAAAATACCTAAAGTTCCTCTAAGCCTTAAACTCTTAAATACCATTTTCAAAAATAACCTAGGGCCAAATTTTTAAAGGTATCTAAGTACCTTAAGATGCAGATAGGCACCAAGTGGGATTTTCAAAAAATCTGCATACTTCTAAATGTTTTGGTTTGACATTTTTGAAATGAAACACTTCAACTTTTGAATTTTACTTCACTTTTATTTTTTCAAAAAGGTACAAAATAAAAATTTTGAAAACGAAACACGTTTTGTTTGACCCAAAATATATATTTTACTTTTTTAGTTCGACCACTGAAAAATAGGAATAAAGCTATATGAATAACCAAAGTGCCTAAGTTATTTTTGAAAAATGTGACTCAGGCTCCTAAGTCATTTATATGCTTTTGAAAAGTTTATCCTTGGCCCTTTAGCTGAAAAAGTATAGGCTCATGCATTCAGATCCAGATGACAGTGATGTCATTACAAGTGTGGTTGTGGTATTACATTCACTCTGGCCAGACAACCTCATCCCAAATGTCTGAGGTCTACAGCAGTTCAAACCGCCATAAGGTCCACCACCGGTGATGATGCTCCTGGGCAGGCTGTCTGTGGGGATTGAATCTGCACCTCTGTATCTAAAACCATGAGCCCCTGCTTCTCGAGATAAAGGACCAAGAGTAAAGCAGATTACAAAAAGGAAGGAAGTTCCTTTTTCACGTATGCCCCAAGAGGTTGTGATGAGTAGTTTTCTCATTCTGAAAATGCATATTATGTGAAGTATAGAAAACATCTTTATTATTTTGGGTGTTTTGCTTGCTGCAGCAAAGGAGTCATTGGCATGTATACATTATTTTAAGTATTGTAACTAATAATATTATTCAATATCCATATTGTATGGCTCTCTCACATTTTACTGCAGACCAAAAATTCAGGCCCACCTTGCTAACATTTTGGTAAATCTGGGCTGAGTTTTGAGTCAATCTGGGCTCACTGATGGTTTCAAATGGAAATCATTGGGAACTCAGTTGTTTTGACCTGTAATTAGCATGCGACTGTTTCAGCTGAGTTAGATTAGGAATTATTTGGTTTGTTCAGATGCTTAACTCAAAGCAAAATGTAATGGTGTGTGAATCTACATGAACTAAAATGAAAAGGTTTTCCTGAATCCAGGGCAAACTAAAATCACTAAGTTTCTCCTAAGTCTCTCTGAAAGACCTTAAGCATAGATCAGTGAATCAGAGTTCCGCTGGTGTATTCCAGGGGTCGGCAATCTTTGGCACACAGCTCGCCAGGGAAAGCCCCTGGCGGGCCAGGCCAGGCCAGTTTGTTTACCTGCTGCGTCCGCAGGTTCGGCCGATCGCGGATCCCACTGGCTCGGTTCGCCGCTCCAGGCCAATGGGAGCTGCAGGAAGCGGCGCGGGCCTAGGGATGTGCTGGCCGCCCTTCCCGCCGCCCCATTGGCCTGGGACGGCAAACCGCGGCCAGTGGGAGCCACGATCGGCTGAACCTGCAGACGTGGCAGGTAAACAAACCGGCCCGGCCCGCCAGGGTGCTTATCCTGGCAAGCCATGTGCCAAACGTTGCTGATCCCTGGTGTATTCCATAGACCTAATACTAATGATTTGATCCTCCATGAGAACTGCATTTTGAATACTGGATGTGTCTAGGCATGGACAAACCTTAAATAGGCGTTCAACATATTGCCAGACTGTAACAAGTTAGCTTGAAATGATTAGTGCTCCATACATGAAAACATAGTTTGGGGATTCATTACATTTCAGAAGGAACACAGAGAGATGCAATTTTATGGCCAAAGTTATTTACAACCACATTTTAATTTAGTTAGCAGATTAAGTACCTCATGATGATCTAAGTTATGTCCGCAAATAATTGTGAGTGTAAAAAGAGAAGGATGGATAAAGGCTGGACTCAGTCTCACCCAGTATGTGTAAAGTGTAATTACATGTGATTGTGACAAATGAGGAAGACACTGACAGCAGCAGACTTTTTCCCTTTCATTAGAGTGAGTTCAAAACCCAGGGAAGAAAAAGTAAAATGACAAATCAATATCTCAACATTAATAAGGGGCTGATGCACTGCTGTCAGTTGAAGCTAGAGTTGTGTTCTCCACATCTTCAATTGTTCCTGCAGTCTGAGGGATTTGGGGTGTCAGAGAGAATTAAGTGCAGATGGTATTTCCTAAACTGTAAGACAAGTACATTTAGCTCCTTCTAGTAGCAATTGTTGTCTGACTTGTCTCTATCATGATGTACACAAAACTCAGCCTGCTAATCATAGATAGACAGTTGACAACCTGTGACTATTCCTCTGCCCCTTCTTTCTTTTCCAGTTCCCCCCCTTTAACCTCAGTTTAAAACAAACCAAAAAAAGTGAACAAAAGAACTTAAAATACGTGTAACAAACAAATTCTGCCAATTCTCCACCTTGCTCATTTGCTTGTGTGTTGAATCCACATCTGCTTTAGATAGGTAATTCCTTCAGGGCAAGGATTGTTTCTTTTGTGTGTTTGTACAGGACCAAGCACCTGGGACCTGAGGCATTTCAGTACTATCAGAATATGAATATTTACTGCTAATAATAATAAAATAATACATACATATCCCTCAGTGGCAGTGAAGAAAAATTGTATGAGGACAAGCCATCTAGAATACTAATGAAGTAATTTATTGCAAGAGAGAAAATTGCTTGAAAACTCATTGGATGAAATTTAATAAAAGCATTTTAGGAGACATATATTTAAGTAATAAAGCAAGCATAAAAATATTTCCTTAATATAGAATAGATTGTGATGGTTTTGGTTTTGTAATAGTTATAAACACAATCAAAGTATATACTTGGATGTGGAGTTTTGCTCTCAGGTTGAGATTGAAAGCTATAGCTTTTTATTTAAATGTTTCAAATGTTCCATGGTTTATACAAAGCAATTTCACAGGGATTTTAGAAATGAAAGATAATAACAACATTTTTAAACCCTGGACTAACAGAATCAAGGTGGATACATATAGCCATTGCAAACCTCTTTTACTCCATTAGCTGTTAAAGGGATAAGAGCTTTGTCAAACATGCTGGTTTTGGTTTCTGGGGGGTTTGCTAATGCTAAGGTAATAATATAATATAGTTAACCACTGTCTGGGGAAAAGAGAGGCTAAAATATCAAAGGAAAATATCTCATGATTAAAATGAAACCAGATGACTTACTCTATAGAGTAAGAGTATACAGTAAGGTTTAAAATTATCTTATAAATTTATTGTTCTTTGAGTGGCTCTGCATATTCCCACTAATGGGTAAGGCACCAAGTGCTACAATCTAACAGGAGCCCCTTCTCCCAGCAGTGCCTGTTAGAGCACATGTGCGCCCCCTTTCTATACCTCCCCTCAGTGTTCATGAACATTCTGAGGGCAAGGCTATATAAAGGGGCACTGAGGCTATATAAGGGGGCACCAGCTCAGTTCCTTCCAACCACTTGTGCCAGATGGAAGTGAACCACTCTGGTCTTTTGGATCTGGCTTTTTTTCTCCTATTTTAGTCTATTGTGATAAATTTTTAGTGCTAGTATAAATAGTTTGTTAGTAGTTATAGTCAGCTAAGTTAATTTTCATATTTGTTTCTTTGGGGTGACAGATCAGAAGAAGATGAAGCAGAAGCCGGGCTTTAAGGGATGTACTTTCTGCCCAACCATCTTCCCGGTATTGGATGCCCATGTGAGGTGCCTTAAGTGATTCAGCAAGAGTCACTCCCCTTCTGGGTGTTCCATCTATCACACTTT